AGCCTGCGAGTCCAACAGGGCGGCCGAAGCAGCGTTGGTTTTACGAAGGAAAGCCCCAAGCCCCATGACAAAAGGTCAACGGCTTGGGGCGCTGGGCGCTGCAAGAGGCGAAAGAACCGGCGAATTCATGTGCGAAGCCGAGGTCGCGCAGGGCTACAGCGTCAGCCCGCGAAACCCAATATATAGGCAAATGGTGCATGCCGCACTTCTTCGCAAGCCGATGCCGCCGTGCGGCAATGCTATCTGCGCGCATGCTTGAGCAGGCGAGGCTGTTGCGACGCCTCATCGGCAAACAAGAATGTGGTGAGGCAGCGGAAAACTGCACCATCGTGGCGTGCCGCGTAGCCGTGCGTGCTTTCAGGCGGGCGGGTGAGGAGGGCACATTGCGCACGCGGCGCTGTACAACAGGAGAGCAATAGCCATGCAACTCGGGAGTCGATCATGGAGTGCTGGGAGGTTGTCGAGCAGGCCACGCTGGCGGGCCGGACTGCGCGCAGGTGGGCTTCGACGAACTCCTGAATGCGAAGAGAATGCCAGGGGCAACAACGCTACGACGCTCTGCCAAGGGGATCTCTTGGCCACCAACCCACATCGGGGAGTCTGGGGCAAGGGCAAGCACACCAGGAGAATGCCAGCGAAGTTCCAAGCGGAGACGCGCGTGTTGCGACAACCGTTTTCCCCGACGGGTACCCAAACGAGCTACGACGGACGAAACCATTCTTTTGGATGGATTGAAGCGCATTCGCGCCGGGTCCGTCGCAATCGCCAGTACTAGGCAAGCCGGCGCCGGGGGACGCTTTTAGCTGCCCCGGCCCGCTGCCCGCCAGCGAGCGACGACCCGAAGGTCTCAAAGTAGAACGATAAAGCGCGGTGAGGGTGGGAGCTGAAAATTCGTCGGGGGACGTGGAGCCAGCAGCAGCTGCGGCGTCCACGTCGATTCGACGGTTGTCCCTACGCACATGAATGTGCTACACGACAACCGTTTTCCCCGACGGGTAAGCAAAAGAGCTACGACGGACGAAACCCTTCTTTTGGATGGATTGAAGCGCATTCGCGCCCGGTCCGTCGCAATCGCCAGTACTAGGCAAACCGGCGCCGGGGGACGCTTTTAGCTGCCGCCCGGCGCTCCCCTCACCCACTCTGCGCCGGCTCAGCCCGCTCACACCGCAAGATTTAGTAACTCGTCGGCGGCGTCGTTAACCGCAAAGTCCAGATCGGCGGCGGCCCGGGAGAGCACCTTGAGGATCGACTCGACGGGTGTGTGCACCCGCTCCCAGCCGGAACTTTCCGCCGTGTGAAGGTCTCCTCTCGACACTGCGTCGGAGACGTTGGCTTTGGATGGCACCCGACGGAAGTCGGGAAGCCATTCCGACAGAGCCGCCGTAGACCAAAAGGCCGCCAAGACGCCGTTAACGGCGGAGTCCTTCCCGTACCCCTTGGTGAGTGCCCATTGGCCGGCGACGTTGTCGATGAAGGCCAGCCACCTCTGGGGCAACCGACGGGACAATGTGACCAGCGCCAGAACCTGGGCGACGATCTCGAGGACATAGATAAATGCCCGACGGGAGGCGAAAATGTCCAGGAACTTGGCCGGCACCACGCCGCAGTCGTAGAAGACGTGGGCGCCGATGCGGACGACGAAGCCCCAGCCGTTCCGGCCGCGGGTCCCCGGCCGGACTCCGACCTCTGCCGGTATGTGCCCGGCTTTGTGTTTCACCTCGCCGGGCTGGTAGAAGGCGTCGGCGTAGATGATCGCCGCCGGGGTACTCTCCTCGGCCGGATGTCTGCCAGCAGGGCCCGGAGAGACGTGAGGGCTGCCCGGAGGCCCGCCGACAGCGACGTGGCCGACGTGGCCGCCGCGTCGTGTGCCCTTGAGTAGACGGGCTGGAGGGCTGCCTTCCCCAGGGCGCCGAAGGTCGACTGGGTGATGAAGTTGAGCTTGCCGGCCAGGCGGTTCGCCACGTCCGGCGTGAGCTCGTCGTTGGCCAGTGCGGCGTCGATCGTCGTCAGGACCTTCTTGACGCGTCGTTCGGTCGGCTGCAAGACCACTGCGTCGGCCTCGACGGATACGAGGACCCCCTGGACTGTCTGTTGAGTCGCCGGGGCCTGGGCCTTGGACGGCTTCGTCTGCAACCCGACGAGCTCGAAGAAGTCGGCCATCGCCCGGAAGGCCGAGTTCGCCGACTCGTCCATGTCGACGCCGTTGAAATCGTCGACGAAATGGCCGGCCAGGATCCAGAGGAGCACCCGCTGTATGGCCTGGAGGGCGTCGGCTGTCCTGTTAAAGTGCCATACCGACGCGGCGGCGCCGAAGCACATCGCAATATGAAACCAGAGGGATACGCCGGTTGGGCCCGCGATGAAGCTGCCGGATGGTGCCGGAGTGCGCCGGGTGCTTGACCGGCCACTGGCGGTAGGCGTTGAGGAGGTCGTGCCCGAATATCCTCGCCAGCGTCGCCGGCCCCCCCGCCTGGTCGACCACTCGCCGGATCATATCCACGAAGTCGTCGACGAAGTGGTGCGTCGGGACGTCGTGGGCCCTGACGGTGGAGTTGTGTCCAGACCTGCGCCAGTCTTCGGCGCGACGGACCTTTGCTCCTCCCTGTTCGTCTTCTTGCACGACGGGGAAGGAGGCTGCGGCAAAGGCCTGGCCCGGCGGCGGCGGGACCAGACGGTCGGCCCCCGGCCTGTCAAGGAGTGCCGTCGTCTTGAAGTTCCAACCGTCGGGGGCCCGGGTTGGGCCGACCACCCGGCCGAGACGGACTTCCTCCACGAGCTCGGCGAGGAGGGTGTCGGTGTGCTCCCCGACGGTGGCTGTGGACGCCCGCCGCTTAATGTACTCCCAGTTCGCCGCCGCGAAGTTCTCGAGCGACGCCGGATTGGAGTACTTCTCGTCGGTTCTGGTCCTCCACCCCGGGCCTCGGCGGAGTTCTCCCAACATGTCGAAGCCGTCGGTCAGGTCCTCCTGCATGCCGGGGACGTCGGGGTAGCCGACGATGCGGAGCAACTCCAGGATGACGGGGATCTGCGTCGGTCTCGCCTTGCCCGGTGTCGAGTATGTCGCCCTCACCGACGGCGACCGCTGCTCCAGCCAGCGCTGCGTGTGGTCCTCCATGTCGTCGACGAGGTAGGAGATGTCCTGTAGCACCTCCCGCCGGATCCTCGCCAGGTCGTGGCGCCATGACCGCCAGAGGAGCAGTACCCGCTCCAAGGCCGGCTCCAGATCGGGCCGCCGGGTCACCGTGCAATGCCGCAGGGACGCCGACAGCTGCCAATGTAGGTCCGGGTCGTCGTCGGGGAGGTCGATGTCCGGTCGGTGTCGCGGCGGTGGCTCCATCGGCACCGGTCCACCGCCGAACTGTTCCGCTGCCCACTGGAGGGTCGACCGACGGGGCTCAGGTACTGGTGCCGCCGCAGACGAGGAGGCGACGGAGAAGGCCACGATGATCGCCAGCAAGCGGCGGGCTACCCCCCAGTGCCATCCGTTGGCAATGACGCGGTGGCGGGCGGTGTCGTCGACGAAGTCCGCCTGTGTGTAACCCGACGGAATGTGATGAAGGCGCTTCTTGACGCCCGCCGGGATGTTGTGGAGGCGGCCCGCGTCGTCATGCATCATGGCCTCCTCGACATAGTGCCAAGGGGCAAACCGGCGGCCGTCCGCCGCCCAGCGGGCCTTCGCCGGTTCGGGGAGCTTCTGCCGGACCCTCTTCGGAGGCTGTCTCCCGCCGGCGTCCTCAGCCGGTGTTGTGGAGCACGGGAGGCGCAACCTGCCGGACTCGACGGACTGGTGGAACGAGAGGCCGGTCGTCCGCCGGTTGTCAGCCGGAGTCGCGAGCCTTGCTTCGACCAATGAAGCGGTCGGCCCGACGCCGGATCCACCAGGGCGCCGGTCAGGTCCGCCGACATCCACCATAGTCGGGGCCTGGAAATCCAGCCGAAGTCCGACCCGCAGACCAGGACCGGCTGCACGCCGAGGGCGTCGCTGATCTTGGCGGCGTGGCGGGCTCCATCACGACGTTCTCGAAGAGGAACGCCACCCGCCGATCGGAGGACCTCCGGCGAGAATCTGGTTGAACATGTCGACGGTGAGGAGGAAAAGGCTCCCTCGCTCGCCCGGTCGCCGGGCCGATCCTCGAAAAGTCTTGGCACGGCGGAGCGGCGGTGACAACCACTGTGCACTCACCTGTCGGGTCGGCCTTCCTGATCGCCGCCGCGACGGAGCCGGGCGACTCCGATGTGACGTCGCCTCTGTGGACCAGCCACGGCAGCCTCGCCGACGCCAGCCGTCGGCAAGTGGCGTCAATCTCCCACGCCAGCGCCAGGGTAGGCTGATTTTGGGCGCACGCCGGGTGCGCTTGAGTGCCGGTCGGACGACGGTACCAGCACAGTGGCTCCCGGATACCTCGCCGTCGTTGTCCGAGCCGCCGCGCTGTCCCTAGCGGCGGCGCTTGGGGTCCTCCCGACGGCCTTCGTCACAACGGTCCTTCCCACCGCGACGGTCGTCCTGCTCCCACTGGTCCTGGCGGCCGCGGCCCCAGGACTGGCGCCAGCCCTGGTCGCGACCCTCGTCGCGGCCGGTCTGCTTCCAGCGGTTCTGGGGCTGGCGCCGGTCTCGTAGTGATCGCGACCCCAGTCCTTGTTGGCGCCGTCGTCCTCCCAGTCCTGCTCCTGGCGGCGCTGCTTCCCGGGCCGGCGACGGGGCTGGCGGCCTCGACCCTTCCCCTTCCCCTTGGGGGTGTCGGCTGCGTGTCGTCCTCCGTCGGGTTGCTTGGTTGGCCGCCCGTCGGTGCCCCCGTCGGTCTCCTCGGCGGGCCGGGCTTGACGGCGGACAGGAGTGCCTCATTGAACGCCGCCTGGTCCGCCATGATCGCCGAGGTCACCTCCTCGAAGGTCCGGGCGAGGCGCATGGACATGGCGAGCTGGTCTTGCTCGAGTGAAGCCGGGTTTGGTCGTCCACCAATCGACGTACCTGATGACGCCGGCCTCTGTCCCCACGCCGGTCAAATGGCGTCCAGGCCGTCGACGACGGCCCAGATGCCCCTCGGGACGAACGGCTGGTTCTCCTCCACCGCCAGGCCGCCGTCCACAAACTTGATCCCGCCGGTGCTGCGACGGCGCCGGCGAGGGGATTGACGACGCCGAGGGAGGACCAAGTCCGGGCCGCCAGGATCTCGCCGAGGCCGAGCGGCGTGTAGAGCTTGGACTTGGTGTGCTCCCAGTGGATCCTGCGCGAGCACCTCCTCGGCTCCGACGAGGCGCTCCGCCGGGAACGAGCGGGGCTCACCTCCGAGCTGGACGGCGTTGTAGCGGGCGACGAGGTCGGTCCACTCCGGGAAGGTCCGCGGCGGCTTCTCGCCGACCATCGTCGGCAGGGTGGCCGGCGGCGGTGCAGCCGTCGACGGTGCCGGCGTAGGGGTGGAGAACTCGCCGCCGGGCCTCCGACCACATATGGCGGATGATCGCCCGGACGACGGGCTGCTCCGCCGGCATCGCTTTGTATGTCTTCCCGGCGATCTCGTCGCCGTCGCGGAACGGCTGGAAGACCCTCGCGTCCACATCGGACCATTCGTCGGCGACGAGGGCGAGGGTCGCCGTGCGGTTCAGAGACCGCGCCTTCAGGTACTCGACGAGGTCCGGACCCGCCCCCGCCGACGTGGCAAGGTCGTCGAAGTCGGTCAGGACGTCGGCGACGAGCTGCGGACCCATAGCCAGAGGGCCGGCGGGGATGAAGGGCGGTGCGGTCAAAGGCGGGCTGCGGCACGACAACAAGATGCCCTATGCGCAGCGACGGGCTCACCAAGTGCACGGCCCCTCTCCCTTTTATCAGCACGACGAGGAATCGTCGGAATCTGAGCTAGATGCCACTGGGGAGGCTGCCTCCTCCGTCGGCGACCCGACACCGTCGGCCGACGGGGCCTTCGGAAAACACCTAAGGCACTTGGCGGCTCCCGCCGGTAGCTCGGTGATCCTATAAAAACTCCGGATGCCGTATGGCCAGGAACAACCCCGCGCTTTCCACAGAAAGCGGTCCGACGAGGCCTCCGTCGGATCAGGGGCGTGAGCCCGTTTTTGCCGCTCATTGTAAATGAGGTGCTCCGGCGGCGCGACGGCGACCTGCTTCACCGTCTCCGGTCTGACGGGGCCGGGCTCAAACGCGACCGTCGGGGAGTGGTCCTCGTGCGGCGGCGTTTCCTCCTGCGCCGGCTCTCCATCCTCCAGGGCCAGCGGCGGCTGATGGCCGAGAGCCGGTGGAGCCGTGGCCTCCGAGATGGCGCCGCCATACGCCGGCCGGACGCTGACTATCTCGACGTCATCCCCCAAGATGCGCAGAGGGACGTCCGGGGCGACTGCCAGCGGGGCCGCCTGGACGTAAAGCTCGATGGCGGCTGAGGACCAGCGGCCCAGCAACTGGATGATGGGCGTGTTGACGCCCATGGACGCCAGCCACGCTGCGCGGCCACCCGTGCCAGATGGCCGTTGAAGAGCTGGACGGTGGCGCCGTTGTGGTCGGTGGTGGTCAGCTGGATCCCCGCCGCCAGCAAGACCCGCCGGAAGAAGAGGACGGCCTCTGACTTCTCCCAGGTGTCTCCGGCCCCTCGGGGAACAGGGGTGCCCCACGCACCCACCGTCCGGCACGCCAAAGGCGGGAGACATGGCGGAGCGCCGCGTGGTAGGGGCACAACGGCGCCACGGTTGCCCCGCAAGCGCACCGTAGCTGGCGTTGGGTCAGCTCGACCTCGCCGCCGGTCGCGGTCTTGTGCAGGGGAAGCCGGAAGGTGACGGTGCCGTCGGCGACGTCAATGTCCTCCGTCCGCGCCGCTGAGAACTCGATCTCGCGGAGCATAAACCAAACCGCCAGGATAAGGGCATCGACGGCGTGTGCCGTGACCCACACCCTCCTCGCGTCGGATCCCGGCGGGTCCACCCTGGAGACCAGGGCCACCAGGCGGTCGACCGCGAATATGGCCTTAAGCTTCGAGCCGGGCAAGCCACGGACCACTGCCCGTGCATAGCGTCGCATGGCCCGCCGGATGAGGGGGTCGACGGCCTCGCCGCGAAACTGTTCCTGGTAGGACACGGCGGCGTCGAAATAGTTCTGGACGGAGCGGTAACCGCCTCGACGGAAGGTGGCGGCCACTTTCCGCACCGCCTCCGCCGAAATGGGCCAGGGAGCGACGGCCCAAGTCTCGCACGCTTCCTGCCACGTGCGGACTCTCGACTGGAAGGGTGCCTGGGACGACTTCGCCAGGATGTTTTCGTCGATTTCCGCCACAGCGCCGCCTCCCTGTTCTCCGGGAGGGCTGCTTCAAAGGCGGTGCGTTTGCACGCTGGACGGGTGTCCCTCCTGAGCGGAATGTCCTTCCGCTTCTCCGCCGGCCGGTCAGGGACCGTCGCCGGGGCCGGGATTGGTCCGCGAACCGTCGCCGCGACCACTACTGGACCGTCGGTCGGTACTACAGCCGTCGCGGACGGCCCTGTCGCGGGCCCCGCCGGCACGATCTGAGTTGACGGGGCCGGTCCTGAGGACCGTCGCCCCTCTGGCTGGCTAGCCGAGTCGGTGGACCTCCAAACGGCGAGTGCCTCGAGGACTGTGGCCGGGACGCCGGCTGTTACCAACGCCGAAGCCCGTGCAAGGGCGGAGTCGACGTCCACGGCGCACATCGTCGGGAAGAGGGGCATCGACGAATGCCCTCACTAGCCGGCCCAAGTCCGCCGTCTGTCCACGGCGGGGCCGCATGGGGCCAAAGGAGGCCTAGGCGTGCGCCGGCCTGGGCGCCTCGAGCCAACCGAACCTCCTAGAGAAAAAGGGAAAAGAAAAAGAGGTGCACGACGAACGACGGGCAAGCATGAGAACCTGCACTGCGACGGCCTCCCTCCTTTCTCGCGCCGGTGGCGCCTGCTCGGCTCTGAGTCGGGCCCTGGGCGATTACAACGCCGGGCAGAAAAAGCATTAAATTAAGGCGTCGGGAGAGGCCCGCGAAGGCTTCACCGACGGACCCCCCTGAAGCTTCAATTCCCACGTCGCCAGCGACAAGGTCGTCGGTGAAGTCGACCATGTAGAAGACGGCGACGGTGAGATAGCGACGGGGGCCGGCCGACCGGGATCACCGGTGCCGGGACTGCTCGTGGCAGTCTTCGCACTCATGGTGGTCGTGGCGATCCAGGTCGACGGTGCCGCCGGCCCGAATCAAAACCGGACGCCGGGCGGCAGCGCACGCAGCACGTAGTAGGCCGCTGCGGCGGCCGCCGGCACCATTGCTGTGGAACCGTCGGCGGCGGCCCTCTCAATGTCCTCCAAGTGCTCCAGGTTGGCGACGGTGAGGGGCTTGAGCGGCTCCGGCAGCGGCACGTCGGACCGAACGCCGGACTTGCCCATGAGCTCGACGTGCTCGCGCCACTCCTGCGAGCAAAGCATCCGGCGGATGTGGGCCAGACGCCGGTACTCCCTCCGGTGACGCTCGAGCTCGACGGGGGATGCGTTCTGTCCTGGCCGTCGGGGAAGGATTGGGAAGCCGGGGTACATTTCTCGCGGCGTTGGTGTAGGTGCCCTGCGAAATGAACCCGACGGTGCTGGCGGCGACGGCGAGGGTGCCGAAGCGGCCGGCATGGCTTTCACCTGCGGCTCGACGGTGCGCTGGTGTCGCGACTCCTCCTCGAACTGCCGCCGGAGCTCCTCGGCGATGCGGTCCTGGTAGTCGACGATCGGCACCGACGGGGACGGGGCAGCCGGCGGCGGCGGCCCAGGGATCACCGTCGACGACGTGATCCGATCCGGAAGGACCGTCTGGTACCGCCGGTAGTAGGCGTCGGCCGTCGGGATGTTGTGCTTGTATGCCAACTCCGCGTCGGTCCGACAGAGATACCCCACCTGGTCCCAGACTTCCGGCGGGCTGCCTTTCGGCACCGACGGCGCCGGACGGGTGGGCTTCTGCGGGTACCCACCACCCGATGGCTTTCCTGCCGCCGGCATGTCGGCCGAGGACGACGGTGCGCCGGAGACCCCCGCGTGCGCCGAAGGATCGTGATGCCTGTCGACGGGGGGTTCCGGGCACGGGTCATCCGACGGCGCCGGCATTGCTGCTGCCACGCCACATGGAACTCGCCGGTGTCAGCCTCGACGAGTCGCCATACACGACGGGCCCTGGCGCGGCGGCGGGACTGTTGATCGCCGATACCAGGGCCCGCCGTTCCAGTCCGCTCCACTCGGCGAAGAGCTGGCTCAGATCATCGCCGGCGGCGACGGCGCGGCGGATCATGTCCAGCGCCGAGACCACATCGGCGGACTGGTAGGCCATGGCGTCAGGAGGGTCTACCGGAAAGCTGAAAATTCGTCGGGGGACGTGGAGCCAGCAGCAGCTGCGGCGTCCACGTCGATTCGACGGTTGTCCCTACGCACATGAATGTGCTACACCACAAGTAGTGTTCAAGTGACTCTGGCAGGGGGGGCGAGGATGTAAATGTCATCAAAATATGCCAGTGCCTGCTCGGCTTGGAGAAGGTCAGTATGCAGGGCCCGGAAGGCGGGCTGCAAAGCGGAGAACATGGCCGGCGTCAAGCGGTCGACCACGGCCCAGACGTAACACGACTCCCGAGCATACCACGTACGGGCAAAAAGGAGGACTGGTGGCGTGCTGCGTGTATCTCGCAGTGCAGTTAGCATAGCTTTCCGGCTTAAAGCCATACGCAACTGCAGCATCAACTGACAAGAGTGGCAAGATGTGTCAAGCGGGTCGGCCTGAGTGCCCGCCTGCAAAGTACGCACCAGCGCTTCGGCACTGGCCCGCGTGAAGAGGGCATACTGATGGGGGTCACAGACGGCTTCGAAGTTGGAGTCGAACTGTTGTGCAAAGATCCTGGCAACGAGCTGTTGCAGAAAGTCACCAACCACCAAGCATCACGTGCCCCCGCCTGGTTTGCTGAGGGCGCCAAAACCCTTGCAAAAAAAATCGGAGTTCAGCCGTATAGGCGTGCTCGGCGCAGGTTCGCAAGGGGTGCCGAGCGGTCGTGCGACAGGGGGGCGGCTCGGGCAGCATCAAGGATGTGTTGGAGGTGGCCTCTGTCGGTGGGGCAAGGGGTTCTGAAGTGCAACGGTGTGCTAAGCGGGTGGCGCGCTCAAACCGGCGTGGCAAATCATCAGTGGTGTTGGTGGTGGGTCTGGCTTGGGGCACTGGCCTCGGCAAGTGCTGAAAGCGGTGAACCTCGCCAGAATGACCGGTTTCGGCACTCGGTCAGTTCCGGCGAGGCGGGAAAGCAGCATGCGCGGCGGCACGGGAGGAAAGGCCAAAGGTCATCAAAGCTTCCAAGCACGCACGGCGTCTTCTCAGGCGAAGTTGGGAGCAGATGCATCAGGGCAGTGGCATCGCGGATGAAGCACAGGCCAATCGCGCGAGACGGAGACCACCACCACCACCACCGCCACCGCCGTGCGGATTCCAACACTGCCCGAGACTCTGGATTGCTAGCTACGACTCGACGAAGCACTGTGAATGCCCTTAAACCCGGGACTCGGCGACGCTTATAGGACGGCTGCCCTTGCGTCCTGCCGTTTACTAGCACACCCAAGTCGATAACCGATTGAATCGTACAGGAGGGCCGCAGACTGCATTTTGGCCTTTGACTTTTGGTTATGCTTCAGAGCTACAGGTAGGTCTTTGCTGCGTGCTCGAGATTCGTGCAGGCAGAAGTTCTGGCAAGCGGATTAACCTCTCAATCTCTCAATCCATGTTCGACGATCCGCTTGCAAGATTGAATTCACGCCGCCGTCTTGACAGCTGTGGGCTATCGACAGTTGTGGCGGAAAGGCTGGGCTCCAGTCTGCACAGCTAGCGTGTAAACTGCGGTCGCGCAACCGTCTAAACTGAAGATATGAACAAGAATCCAGCTATATATTCCGTCACAAGATTGGCAATCGATTGATGCCTCGGCGAATCTCAGGCGCGGTATGGAGGAGGGCTGCCCTGCACGGGGCACACACACGAATGATAACCTGTTCTGCGCTTTCTTCTCGTATCGGCAGGCGCCTGCTGGCTGGGCACCCAGAGGCCACTGTCCTCGCAGCGCTGCAGGTGGTACCTCGCTTCCTCCTCCGGCAGCGCCTCGACCTGGCGGACGATCCAAAGCAGCTCGAGGCAAAGCAGCTTGCCGCTAGCGGCCGCCTATAGGCTGTCTTGCTGCGCGCCGACTTCGGCCCTTGGGGCCCTGCGGCTGCCTGTAACCTTTGAGCATCCTTCGTCTTGAAAGCGATCCTGAAGCGAGAGAGCACACTGCACTGGGGATGTTTGACTGCCTCCTCCGGGACACATCGACAGAGGGCTAGATTTCGCCGGAGCTGCATCCCACAGACAAAACCGTGCTCTGAAGCTTCTACTGTTTGCTTTTGGATGTTGCGTTGATTTTGTGGTGCGTTCGACCGTTGCGAAGCTCCATTTTGGACTCGAAGCGCCTTTTTCCACAGCCGGCGCCGGCCGCTTATTCCGGGGCGGCCGATTTCACTGCAAAACCCAATACTTTGGCGCTTCACCGTGCTTCCGAACTCATGACTTGCGCTTCCGCCACAGTGCTGTGCTTGTTGTGTTGTGGAACCTTGTAGTATTGTGTGGAAACCTTGCTTCTGCCACAGCCCTGTGCTGATATTCGTCTTCGAATCGCTCAAGTCCCAGAAGGGCCACACTGTTCGGTTCCTCGGGCCGGCGCTTCTTGAAAAACTTGGCTTCGCCTGGTTTTTCATCATGCTATGAGGAGGTCTTGTGGTTTTGTGGGCGTGGCTTGACGAAACCGGGCTTGTTGAGGATATCTATTTTTGCTAAAGTTTCTAACATCGCTGAATCCGCAGCAATGGCACGAACCTCAAGGGTGGCAGTCTCAAAAATGAGTTGGCTTCGGCTTGGCGTTCCTTGGCTTCACTGCCGCTGGGGGTTTTGGGGGAGCCGGGCCGGCTCGCCCTTCCCCCATTCCCACCTGTCAGTGAGATTCAGTGAGAGACTTCCACCGGTGACATAAACAAAACACATCCGACCTGAATCAAGCACTGATGGGGTAGTGCTCTGTAGGTTCTTGAGCGGTGTGGTTCGCCCAACGTGCTGCAAATGATGAAGTTGGCGTGTGAAACTGTTAGTACAAGTAAACTAGGCTGTGCTTGACATCATCATTTCCACTCTTGCGAGAACTTCTAGATCTCGCTAAGGTTTCTAACATCGACGTAGCCTTTGGCGCCTTGGCACAAACCCCAAGAGCTTGCTTGGCGTAGACTGGCTTGGCTTTGCTTCAGAGGGGCTGGAGGGTAGCTTGCCACCTACCCCCCAATGCACACCTGCAAGTGAAAGACCTCCAACGATGACAGCGCCAAAACAACTTCAGAGAAATCCTCCAACGATTTGGTTTGACATGGCATGTCTTCAACGCGGCGGTTAATGCCATAGCATTCAGAAGTGCTCTGAAGAATTAGTCTACTGCCAGCACGACTGAAATTTCCCACGCGTTGCATCCTGGCTTCCCTATGGGCTCCAGGATGCCTGGCGCGGCTCGGCTAGGCGCGGCGTTGCTTCAAAAAATTTGGATGCGAGTGTATCTAGGCGGGGCCCAACGGAAATCGATAACCTCAAATCTCTGAACCTCGCAAGCCACAGCAAACATCAAAAAGAAGTGAGCAAGAAGCACCAGTCACCAAAAGACAAGAAACCGGCCGTAAGGCCGACAAAAAACGACACAAGGAGACAGGATCCTCAAAGCAATTTCAAGGAATGCAGACATCCCAGAACAACCTACGAAAAACCAAGGAAGCCAAGTTTCTGCATCTCTGCTGGCAGCGTCTCGAAGACCTCGTGTTTTCTCGGCAACAAGGCTTGGCATCCACTCCGCTGGCTTCTGGCACTCGCCTCCAAGGGGTCCAGCCCTCCAGGTCCCAAAGGATTCAGCTTTTTCCTTTCTTCTTCCATTTCGGCATCCATCTCCTCGCTTGGCACTTCTGCCCCAATCCGAAAAGACGCGATGGAACTGTCCTTCTTCTTGACCACCGCACGGCGCTCCACACGCTGGATAAAGTTCTGCACCGTTTCCTTGCCAAACAGGCTCCAGAACCCTCAGTGCCCTAGCAATCACGGCAACGGCACAATTGCTGGTGCAAGCTGGAGGCATCGAAGGATTCTCTGGTTCCTTCATGCCTGGCAGATCAGGATCAAAGAGACCGGCTGAAATGTCGCTATTGAGCCGCAGTCTCGCAACCAGAAATTGCCGTGCTTCTTAAATTCGAGACTAAGCAATTTAGACAAGGTGCTCAATCAGCTTTTGGAAGATGGGGTTCACCGAGTCTCCTCGTCGCGTGCTGGGCTGTACGCTGCAACTGACATCTTAATCTTTCCTTTGAGGTAGACGTGGCTGGTGTGATGACGTGCAAAATACATATCCTGAGACGGAACTATACGTCCAGTCTTGTTCTGTCATCAGCACAGTCAACACGGAAAAATCCTCTTCCTTCCTAGCGGCCAGGCTCTTGGGCCGGGCCGTTCTCTTCCACAGCCAACACCGTTCTTTCTCTTGGGTTCCCGCGTGCTGGCCGCCCGGCTGCTCGCGAAAACTCGCGGAGCTGTGTCAGCAACTGCAACCTGCTGATCTGCTGTGTTCGGGAGATCGCACGATTGAGAAGTTAGCAGGCCCGTTCCAACGTGTAGGTGCTGAGACGCATGCTGCCGTGCAGACTGAGCCATCTCCTGCTTCCACAATCGCCAACACAGACAGCTGTCACCGAGACATCCGAGAACGACAGACTGGTCTCGCAGACTGGTCCTGGTGAAGATCGTTCATCTCCTTCTCCAGGCAATCTAACAGTAGGTAGGACCTCAGAGGACACAATGAGACCTGCAGTGTCACAATGAGACCTGCGCATCCTGCATTCTGAAGGTCGAAGCATACCGCCGAACGCTTCCGGGAGTTGCGGCGTAGACCACGTTAGATGTTTTGGAGTGGCCCATCCGGGCACAACTGGAAAGGCTCCTACTGACCCGGCCTTCTGGATGTTCTGATCGTCCAATGCAGATACTTTCATGGACATGTTCAAACAAATTGCAGCAACCGTACAAAGCTTCAAAGCAAATAAAGGCATGGTCAAGTTTTCAGCGAGAGTCAAACTGCATGAAAACAACATGTTTTGAAAACACATGTTGTGGCCACCAGCTGGAGTACTTCTCCCCAAGTGCGCCACTGCAGGTACGTTTTCACTGCATTCACAGAAGCGTCTTCGTTGGCTGGAGACTTCTGTGATGCACTCCAGCCCCCTGCAAACTTAAAAGCGAAACGAGCATGAAAACAAGAAAATTCATGGGTCAAAGCAAGTACCTACAAAGAATTTCAACCAGAAACGCCGAGGAAAAGTGGACAGGTGAATGCAGGTTTTTCGCATGTACAGCAGAATAACACAAACAGGCCCCCGAAGGGGCACGAAGCATCAAGGTGCAGGTCTTTTGCGACTGTTCCCAATCATCGTGTGAGCAGCAAGCCTATTGATGTCTACGCTTCTTGATGGCTCTCTCACTGCGGTCAATAACCTGGTGGTAATAGCATCGGCAATGATTGTGACCTTCATCTGCACGAGCACATACACGACCACAGTTCGTATGAGAGCATAATCCGGAGCATCGTGACATCCTTTGTTGAAAGTCCGAAGAATCACGTAGGATTTCGACAACTCGAAGCATCAACCGAATAAGGTCTTGTGGATGGATGTCGTTAGAGCGAAGAGCATCGAGGGCATCGGCAGCTGATGTTTGCACAATATCCTCCAAATTGTCATCGCTGGCTCGCCTCGACCCTGGTTCGTAACGAAGAGTACGACGACCACTGGACGACATGATTACGCACTGAGACTTCAAAAAAGCTTGAGCACTACACATCAGCACGATAGAAGGCAATCCTAGGGCCACATGTCAAGACTCGCATGACCAAGGACACCATTTATACTCATGTGGCGTGATCCGCTCAAGTCCAGGTCGATTCTACACTTTACAGTGGGTGAACAATGCGGCGCACATTAAGATCATCGATGAAAGCCGACCCAATACGCACTCGGTCTTCATTGGAGTGATGAATCCATTCCACATTGGCATGGCGCACTTGGGCAAGACGCCAAAGCTGCTGAATATTGAAGAATGTGCGATCGCCAACCAATCGGATAATAGTGTAATACCATTCTTTGCACACGGACGCATACACCACAATATGAGGTAAGGCGGGAGCTTCACACGTAATCGGCGTGTACACACTGGGTCCTTGCATAAAGAACTCCCATACTTCAGCACGAAGATCCATCCCTTCTGTTCTGCATTGTGTGACGAACTGTTCAAGATCATACATCGTATGGAATCCATGTCTGCGAAGAGTAACATCCAGAGTCTCAAGTGGATCTAATGCAGGGAAGGTGAAGAAGAAAATTATATGGCGTCGGGTGCTGATAAAAGTCAGCACTTTCTCGGTCAGAACAGTAAGTTCCCACATGGCGTCGAGGAAAAGTCTACAACCTTCAGAGGCACTACGAAACATTCGGGCTCACATCCTGCAGTAAAAGAAGGACAACTGGTAGATTGCAAAAGCAACAAAAACTCATGAGCTCGCATAACGGACCGCAATACAGCATTTATTTCTTTGATCAGCACACTGCACAAGTTCACCACGATGATTCGTGTGGCCAGGTTCTCACAAAGTGAACTGACTGCGTAGTATGCGGAAAGGCAGCAACTCGCGAAATCGAAGATGAGAATGGTAAATGTTGACCAAATTGCCGTAATTGGAAGGCGTTCAAACGGGGTGGAATCCCCGTACGGTTCGCAAGCTCATCGCACACCTTCCTCTTCAAGTCATCGATCGTAGAATCTGTAGGCAAAGAAAGCCAAAAACCCATCTCACGTCCGCCAGAGCATATATCCGGAGGAATAACAACTGGAATCCTGACCATCGGAGCTGGGGCCGGAAGGGCCGCCATACTTGCTGTTCGCTTCATCTGACAAATTGAGCCGTAAGCAACTTCAAAGTATGATGCTGCAAGAAAGCAAGAAAGCACAACACATGTCTGCGACTCAGAAGTTGCAAGCAAGTTTGGGACAACAGTTTTGTCTTCCTCGTACGTCTGGCTTACCTGATATGACGAGAACCTCCAGGTGAAACAGTGGTGCTTGATCTTGACCTAGATCTCGAACGGGATCTCTCGCGAACCTCCGATTCACTCATGGATCTGCTTCTCCGAGCAGCAGGAGCAGTCTGTTGCCGTCGACGGGGCAATGCGCCACGCTGTTGAGGGTCCGAAAGAGTCGATCCATCCATGACTATCGGTGCAGCGTCACTCGAAACAGCTCCAAGAGAGGCATCTGGAAGAGAGGGAGACGGAGAAAAAGGGAAACGGCCAGAAGCAGAGAAGGAAACAGGGAGGGGAGGAGGAAAAGCAGGAGGGGGAGGAGGCGGAGGAGGAAGGGGAGAGGGAGAAGGAGAGGGAGCAAGAAAAGAAGACAACGAAGGGACAGAGGGCACAGAGACAGAGTGGGAGGGAGCACCAAGATGTTGTGCAACAAGGGCATCCGCATCGTTCTGAATCCGACGTCGAAGATGAGAAAGAAAGACTGCCCTCTGCCGGCGATCTCCCAAGATCTGAAAAAGAGCCGTGACTTGATCTCCATCCAGACAGCTGATTATGTCATTGCAGCTCAGCAAAGAGCCAGACATTGATACGTGAACATCGGTGCATAAGTACTTGAACCAACGTCTGCCAAGACTCACGTTTTTTGGCAAACTGAGGCACACAAATGGACAGAACAGTGGCGGACACTTTTTTAACCTCAAAGCCGCCTAGATAACTCGAACATGCGCAGCAGGAAATTCGCATGCCGAGAACGTAACTTGGTGAAGTTGGCACCAACATGTCTCGATACACATAAGCTGGTATGTACAAGAGGGCTTCAATCGAGAACCATGGCAAACTCGTAATCGCATCAGAAACTTGATATGTCGCAGTGTCACAGCGCGACACTGCACTGACAGGCACAGGAAGGACTCACTGCATCGTGGAAGAAGATGTGTAAAGTTGAAAGTAGCAGAGTCATTGGACAGTCCATGGTAATTGTGTGCTTGAAAACAGCGTCCCAACCCATGTATCAACCATCGCTGCCACTGGACTTGCTGCAGGTTTCGGCAAGAATCGGGATTGTCACATCTCTGTGTGCTAACATGCACACTGCTACGTACCATAAGAAAAGAGAATATGCAGAATCGAGGCGCATCCTCCATCCAAACATCACGAAACTGGCAACGGGTCATGGTCTATCGAGTGGTGGAGCATACTTCTTGAGCACATGCAACAAACTTGCCTGAAAACATGCAAGCTAACCAATGCCAAGAGAGTGAGAGACATACGATGCGAATGCACGCAGCGCACCTGAAACAATCTTTTTTATGCGTCAAGTGACATGTCACTCTGACATGGTTCGTCGGAATCGTCAGCATTACAGTCAGAGAAAGAAACAACAAAGGAAGAGCAAGAAGACCCAGGAAAGGAGGAGCAAGACCAAGACCGCGGAGAGGAGGAGCAAGAGGGAACAGAGGGAACACGGAGAGGGCCAAAGGAAACCGACGAAGACACGAGGGAGGCAACCGAGGAAGCAGGAGAAAGAGACAACAACGGAGGACGAGCAGACGGACGGGGAGGACCAGACGGAAGAGGAAGAAGAGGAAGAGAGGGAGAAGAAGGAGGGGACAGAACCGACGAAGACAAGGACCGACCAGACGAGGAGAAAGGAAAGGCAGGCAAAGACAAAGGAGGAGAAGAAAAGAGAGGACCAGAGGGAACAGACGAGGAAAGAGAGGAACGGACAGGAACACGAAGACCGAGAAAACGAGCAAAAGAGAGACAAGAGGCATGGGGTGAAACGGGAACATGTTGCTTGACACAGAAAAGAACCATCATGATTCGAGTTCCAGTGAAAGGCATGGTGGCATGAATCACATTTCCGTCAAAGCAGCAAGGTTGTCTGACATCCAAGAGTCTGCCTTTCAAGTGAGCACCATGCGATGCAACCTTGCAATTGAAATCATCAACTGTATAGGTAAAGCGACCTCGGTCTTCCACAACAAATAATTCTCCACCTGTCCAGTCTCCAATGGCCCAGCCAATGCTTGGGCCGTGATTGTTTGAATCTCTGTGCGGAATAGTCCGGACATTGCGATTGATCTGTATACTGGTAACTGTTACCACTGCGAGATCCGAGAATTGGGAAGAATAATGTAGCATTCGGACAATCAACTTGGTAAGGCCAGGGAACCGGAATGTGTTCTTTGTAAACTGCAATCTTCCTCGAGACTGCACGCCAGAATACGAGCCAAGCAATATCTGATCTGCATGTGCTTGGTCTGTAGATCGCACCTTCTTTCGACTGTAACTCAACCACATCCGTGGAGGAATACCATCAAGAATACGGAATAGACATGCAGCCAACTCGTCCAGTGACTGAAAATTGAAACCATCGGCATCTACATCAAAAGGGCTACGCTCTATGGTGGTCATGTTGACATGGGGCCGAGCAAAAGTTCAGCACACAAGACGAAATGATGCACAAAGCGCTGCAATGCATTAGCCACTTGAGACTGCAAACCCTAGCATCCGGGCAGTTAAGTTTTCAGGCGTACGGTCCACGGCGGAGTGCAACACTCAGAATGTGGGCAAGCGATTGATCTTATTCACTCTGAAGCCGGAAGAAAACAAGCGAAGACAACCGGGGGTAAGGAGGCATCAACAGTCACTTATGCATCACGTGCCCACGATGTCCAGAAGACAGCGGTGCCGACTAAGACACTCCGACT